CACACACACACACACACACACACACACTCTCTCTCACTCTCACACTCACCTGTGTTCTGGTTGGGGCAGGTCGTGTGAGGTGAGAAATTATCAGCAAGGCCTGTTTTTGAGACGATCACAGCGACTCCAGCCACTCTGGACGAGCTCTTCATCCTCATCATGACCGACCTGCAGGAGAAACACATCAGATCAGACACACAGAGACAGACACACACACACACAGGTGTTACAGCACCTGTTGAAGAAGGCCGTCTCCATGATCACTATGTACGGAGGATGTGGTCCTGAGCTGAGAATCCAGTCCAGATCTGATTCTGTCTCCAGCACATGGAGGACTCCAGTATCTCCAGACATAGAGGCTGAGAGACAAATCAAACACATCACAGCGATCCTAACACACAGTTTGACATGTAGGAAGATCAATGCTCAGCTGGACTCACACTGGCAGCCGATCTGATGCGTGGCGTTCAGCAGTCGGACACAAGGAACCGTTTCATTGAGCTCAACATAGATCTTCTGTTCCACTGAGCTGGAGCACACGCCTGCAGCAGCAGAGACACACATCACACGCTTCAGACCGTCACATCACACGCTACTGCTACATATATATACACAGCGGGTAAAATAAGTATTGAACACGTCACCATTTTTCTCAGTAAATATATTTCTAAAGGTGCTGTTGACTTGAAATTTTCACCAGATGTCGGTAACAACCCAAGAAATCCATACATACAAAGAAAACAAAACAAATAAGTTCAGAAATTAAGTTATGTGTATAGTCTCTCCATACAGGAGGTGTCTTGAAGCTGTCATTACCAACAAAGGCTTTTGTACAAAGTATTACAGTATTACAAATCTTTTTTTCACCAATTTCAGAACTTCTAGACACGGCAGCTTTTGTTGTGGTTCTACACATTCATACATCATTGTAACAGACTAGAGAGATAAATACAGACACTGGATTCATTAAACAACAACTGAAAATGATTGATGAAATAATCAACTCACAACAGGTTTTTTTTTATTTTTTTAAATATATTTCTCATTGATGTTTTCATCAGCTTCCAGCTCTATCACCCTCTAAAAAGACATTTACTGTATTGTAGGGAAAAACAAATACTGATAACAATCATAAATAATTTTTCAGATGTAACGTGAGAGTTGCATTTTGAAATAGTAATACTTTGATGTTGTGTCATTTTGAACCGGTGATTTTAGTTAAATGAACAGAGTGTGTATAGTATCCAAGCATTTGGAAAAAGTGTTAAGTGTTTTGAAAAATGTGCATTTTGATAATCGGTTGTGAATTATGTGTCTAGAGTTTTGAAAAATGACATGAAGGTTCTGTTATTAGTGCAAAAAT